GTTTAGGGCTTAGGCCCCCCCCCCCGGAGGCCCCAGGGGTACTGTGAATGGGTCGTGGGTTGATCTATAAGGGTTCTGTAGAGAACATGTTGAGCCACTCCCTCTTGGGAGCGTCTCCAACTGGGAGTTGCAATAGGTCTGGGGTTTAGGGCTTTAGTGTTTTGAGCGTTGGGTTTAGGGTTTGGTGTTGGGTTTAGGATTTAGTGGAGCTTCTTGAAATTGGGGTTGCGGTCTGTCGGGTGTCCTCAAACACAGATATCATGTAGCGGTTCATGTAGTAGAGAACCCCTGATTTTCAAGAAGTATCGTGCCCTACAGGAAGAGGAGCAGTGGAAGATTTCAATAACCCCAACCCCAGCAATAAGCAAAGAATAACTGAAGTGGTTTAATCTAAGTAAAGCTGTAACTAAGATCTGAATAAATAGAAGTCCCACAAGTCCCCCTAAGTGGGTATATTTGGGTTGCAACTGCAATTACAACTGGGTCAGAAAGACTCATAACAATCTGGATGACTCTACTATATTATAGAGGAAAGCCCAATTAGAGAGGTCTAGCCAGGTTAGGAGAATGCACCCTAAACCCTTAAACCCAAGACCNNCAAAACCCTTAACCCTGAAACCCTACATTTTAAACCCCACGGCATAAACCGCCACCCAGGAACAGACTTGTAGAGCGTACGCGCGAAGACCAGAGTCGACATGGCAATCACGTGCCTTCTGTGGTGGAAATGAACATGTGAGCTTTAGTCTAAACTTCNNGGGGATTATATAGGGGACTCTTATGATAGGGGATATTAAGGGGAACGACTATGGGTCATGTCAGGTGTCAGGGGTTTTCTGGCTTAGGGCTGGGCCCCATGTAAAGGACATGTACCATGCAAGGGGTGGCAGGCTCTTCTTTCTCTATGGGGTTGCCTCATGACAAAATCACTCTGAGCCCTATACCCCATGATCTATATAAGTATATACACATGCCCACAGCCACCCCTGAAGAAAGATGAAACCCTTTGGATACCAAAAGCTAGGGCCCCAGATTCTTCTCCCAGCTCCAAATCCTGCGTTGCCACTACCAGGACACACCCAGTGAAAAACTCGCCTTCAAAGCAAAATACAGAAGAAGCCAGAAGTTCTTATTCAGGATTTAGGGTTTAGCGTTCAGGTTGTTAAAAGTTTAGATGCATGTGGGGAACTTTTAGCCCGAAACACACTCAACTGAAAAATGCAGGAGCCCTGAACTCTAAACCCTTGCCCAGCCCTCTTCACTCGCTTCCGCCAAACTTGCTGCGCGAACAGCAGAGGGAGGATGCATGATGTACGGCACAAGATGGGTGTAAAACGCCAGTACTACTCCCCTCCCCTTATATTAAACCCCCCC